TTATATTATATATATATATATATATATATATATATATATATATATATATATATATATATATATATATATATATATATATTGTGACGGGTTGTGGTATCGCAGCTATACTGAACCAAGATGGTATGCTCTCCCCTCACATATATAATAAAAAAAATGCTGCTATTGGCCTTGCAGTGTGTAAGTCGCTGGTGGAAACAAATGAAAATCATCAAATAATTAATTAAAATAATTTACTGAAATATTAATGAAAAAACTGGCACCTGAAAATGCTTGGCTATGACAAATCAAATAAGTAAATTAAAATTTAACTCTAATACAAGATTATACTGGTGGTGCTGAAGATAACTGCCATACCACCACAGCATCCAGCATATGACATTGGCTGAAGGCAGACGGCGTTGCAGGAGGCCAAGGTGATCCAATAGCACTGAGAGACTGTCTCTCCAGGAAGACGGTGACCTTTATATAGTCCGGCGGTGATGACTCGTCTGGTGTCAACGCGAGGTGGACATCTGGTCAGCTAGCAAACTGCTCGTTGTAGCTGGCGGTGCCTTTGTGTTGAGCTGCACCACTGACAGTTAAAGGTGGCTAACTGCTTGTTTCTGAAGGCAAACTAACGGTTAGCAGAGGCGCCCGGCTTGTCTCTGAGTCGTACCAGGCCGTGCCAGGCCCTGGGGGGGGGGGGGGGGGGGGGGGCACGGAGAGCTGGCAGGACTGGTGACTCATCTGGGCTGGTGTAGTTGTAGACTTCCAGTGCAGAGGTATTGAAGGTGAGGGGAAAAGGCTGTTCCACTGCTATGCAGGAAATTAATGCGACAATATTATATTATTATTATTATTATTATTATTATTATATATATATATATATATATATATATATATATATATATATATATATATATATATATATATATATATATATATATATATATATATATATATATATATTACTAGCTGTACCCGGCCACGCTTTGCTGTGGCTCAGCAATGCATGTGGGTTGCTAAGCAACAGCACCCCTCCCCCTGTCTCCCAGTCCTCTCCACCATTCCCTCCCTCCCTCATCCCCTCGTCCTTCCCACCATTTCCTCCCTCCCCATCCATAAGTCCTCTCCAACATCCACCACTCCCCCCGTCGCCTCATCCTCCCTACCATTTCCCCCCTCCTCCCCACCATCCCCCAGTTTCCTGTCTCCTTGTCCTCCCCCACCAATCTCAATTCCCGTCTCTTCGTCCCCACCATCCCCAACTCCCCCATCCACTCGTCCTCCCCACCATTACCCCCTCCCCTGTCCATGCATCCTCCCTTCCATCCCCCACTCCCGTCCCCTCCTCCTCCCCACCATCCCCCACTTCCTTGTCCAATGCATTCCCAAACGACCTGATGTTCCCATCAGAAAATTGGAACATCAAATGATCTGATGTTCCCAGCAATGAAATATTAGAAAAAACAATTAAAAACCAAATGAAAAAAAACTATTCTCACAAAATGAACGGTATGGTGAACAACAAAGCTCAATTCCAACGCAATGTCATACAAAATAATGAAATCAAAATGAAAATAATTTGAAATCTATGAAAATTCAATTAATCAATGAAATCAGAAACATTGAAATGGCATCGAAACATATTTAGTACATAGAGAGTGTTGCTCTTACGTGCAACAGATCGCGCTGTTTCTTTAAAAAAAAATGTTTTTACCAGTCACAGGTGTGGCATCTATACATATACTTACAAAATGAACGGCATGGTTATCTTGAGGTTATCTTGAGATGATTTCGGGGCTTTAGTGTCCCCGCAGCCCGGTCCTCGACCAGGCCTCCACCCCCAGGAAGCAGCCCGTGACAGTTGACTAACTCCCAGGTACCTATTTACTGCTAGGTAACAGGGGCATTCAGGGTGAAAGAAACTTTGCCCATTTGTTTCTGCCTCGTGCGGGAATCGAACCCGCGCCACAGAATTACGAGTCCTGCGCGCTATCCACCAGGCTACGAGGCCCCATGGTAAACAACATAGCTCAATTCTAACACAATGTCACACAAAATAATTAAATAAAAATAAAAATAAATCGAAATCTATGAAAATTAAATTTATCAATGAAATCGGAAACATTGAAATGGAATCGAAACATATTTAGTATAGCGTGAGTTGCTCAAACGTGCAACAGATGGTGTTGCTTTTTTTTAAATCAGGTTTTTACCTGTCACAGATGTGGCATCTATACTTATACTCACAAAATGAATGGTCTGATAAACAACATAGCTCAGTTCCACCCCAATGTCACACAAAATAATTAAATGAAAATAAATTGAAATGTATGAAAATTAAATTTGTCAATCCAATCAAAAACATTGAAATGGAATTCGTAACATATTTAGTATAACGTGTGTTGCTATTATGTGCAACAGATGATGCTGTTTTTTTCTTTTAACATGTTTTTACCTGTCACAGATGTGGAATCTATGTAGTAGGTAGATAAATACATGCGCATATTTGAGTGGAACGTTGTGTCAGAATTTTATAGCAATCGGTGAAGAACTTTGGGAGATTACAGCATGTATTGTTCTTACGTCATACAGATGGCACTGTTTTTAAAAAAAAAAACACTTTTTTCCTGTCACAGGTAAGGCATATATATACAGTAGTAGGTATATAAAAACACGCGCCTATTCGAATGCAACGTCGTGTCAAAATTTCAAAGCAATCGGTAAAGAGGTTTCGAAGATTTCTCTCACATGAAAAACAGTTTTTCAAAAAAAGCATGTTATTTTCCGTCACAGACGTGACATCAATATAGTATGTATATAACAACCCGCTTGGATGTGAAGGGAACCTTTGTTTGAAAATTTCAAGGCAATCGGTGAAGAACTTTCGGAGATTAGCGATTTTGAACAAACGAACATTTCCACTTTTATTTATACAGATATGTAATATATAGGGGCCAGATGGATGAGTGGATAGATTCGGGGTTCGATCCCCGGCAGAGGCGGAAACAAATGGGCAGAGTTTTTCACCCTGATGCACCTGTTCACCTAGCAGTAAGTACCCAGGAGTTAGTCAGAGTGTTGTGGGGTTGCATCATAGGGAAAGGGGGTCAGTAATTCGATCTTGGGGAGGACATCCATATAAGCCTAATGTGTATATAAACACTGGCTGCCTCTCTCCCGACACATTGAATCATTAAATGGATTGGACAATGTGAACAAATTGAATGGCCACCAAGATCTCCCGATCTAACACCTTTGCATTACTTCCTATGGAGGCACCTTAAATCAATATTTTATAATAATTGTCCTAGAACAATACATGTGCCTAAGGATAATATAAGAAAATTTGGAGCTGTAAAACCAAATACGTCCATGCAATGTTCAAAGGTCTTGCATTGAACATGTTTGAAAATGTATTGAAATAAATGGATGTCATTTTGAACATATAATGAAGGTGAGGCAACGCTCCAAATTTTGGGAGTGAAGGATACGCATTTATAAGTGCGCATTTTGCTAGATTTCTGCTCTGCTGGGCTGGGCACACGCTGGCCTACTGAGGACATAGATAGGCCTGCCCATGTGTCCAAAGCACACCACTGCAAAGCAAAACCTTTAAAGAGGGATATTTTGATTAATTACCTGTTATATTTGATGGCAGGGAATTGGTTAACTGTTAGATATGACATCATTAATCTATTACATGGTCTGGAATTTTAGGTGATGGTATTAACAGAAGTGCCTTGTTGTTTAAACATGTTGTTAGTGAAAATGTACCACCATACTTGCAATAACTTATGATTGTGCTAGAGTCAATGCTGAAGATTTTTGGCATTTAATTTTTCTCAATTTTTTTTTTTAATAATTTTAACCCTGCAGAATTTAACAAATATCAAATAAAAGGTCAATAAAACATGGCAAACTAATATTGTTTTAATTCAGATGTGTATAAAAGCAATAAATAAGTGCATATGGCACCCGCATGTAAGACCATGAAGACCATCCACACCATGTAGAATAATGGAATGTGAATGATAAGCAACATTAAGAGCTACATACTCATTGTTTTACTATTTTGTTACTGCTTGTATATACTGTACTACAAAAAATATAAAATTTAACAATAATTATACATATCACATGAAACAAAGCGGGAAAAAGGCTTGAATATGCACAGTACGGGATAATAATTTTGGTGAACACATTAGTCTCTAATGCCTGACCCAATTTCTTTTTCATGTATCTGGATTAGTGTTACCAATTTAAACCCTTTCTTCCTTATTTGGGCAAAGCTAAATAACCTTACCGTCTGACTAGCTGTGAAAAAACACAATTTAATGGCATTTTTTAATCAATAGTTGATGAAAGGAAAAAAAATATCTCCACATGAAATGTACTGAGATAGCAATTATATGAGAGTTATTGGATTAAAAGTGCAATAATCTGCAAATAATTTTTGAGAATTAGATGTACAGTATTTTACTTTTATATCTTTGATGCCTTCTTATTCCCAAGAACACCCATCCTTGGTATTACTCACATAATAAAGCATCCAGACACCTTTATCTAAAGACCACCTTGCTTGTCTAATACCCCTTAAGGTAATGTTGCCTATATTTGGACAGTTACAGTTAAAAAAAAAAATCATATTTTATCTGCAGTGTTTGATAAAATGACAAAAAAACAAAAAACAAAAATCACCACTCTGCATGCATGCAAGCATACACATGCGGGACCAAAGAGCCAAAGCTCAACCCCCGCAAGCACAATTAGGCAAGTACACACAGCCACAAAGACACACACAGGGGGCCTGACAGCTGAGTGGACAGGGCCTGAGTGGGGCCTGACTGAGCGTGATGGCCGAGTTGATAGCGCTCGGGATTCGTAGTCCTATGGTCCGGGGATCGATCCCTGGCGGAGGTGGAAACAAATGGGCAGAGTTTCTTTCATCCTGATTACTGTTCACCTAGCAGTAAATAGGTACCTGGGAGTTAGACAGCTGCTATGGGCAAGCCCACAAGCACAACTAGGTGAGAACACACAAACACATGTCACTTTCCAACTTCAGATTCGCTTTTAATTACATTGATGGTGAAATACTAAAGAAAATGTTAATACTAAAAATATAAACACACACATACAAGAAGAACTATCCAATAAAACTTAAAAGACAGTTTAAATGGATGGTCCAGGACAGACCGAAACGTCGTCGCCCCTTCACTTTCTAGTGTGTGGTCTGGTCAACATACTTCAGCCACGTTATTGTGACTCGTCGCCTGCATAGTTTAAAATAAAAAAGTACCTACTTATATTTCCCATAGTACCTGTAGTAGTGTGTGCTCTATTGGATTCACTCTTGAGGTCTGTTAATCTGGCTACTATGTATAGGTGGAATTGGGCTAGACTAACATTGCACAATGGTCACTTATTTCATTCCTAGGTGCTATTTTTCTGTCCTACTATTTTTGATTGAGCTTATTTTAACATTCTTATTAGGATGGAGCACTTCCAGTTTAAAATACCATAGTTTTATATTGAAGAGCTGTGTGTGGTTGAGTTCCTATCACACACAGCTGTGTGCTCACAATACCCAACTTTCAATTATGCAAATATTTTGTTATCACCACTATTTTGTTAAGAGGTGCTAGACATGAAGAGTTACATTTGTTTATGTCATTTAGTAATTTCTACAAAGGCCTTACGTTTTCAGCCTGAAAAGCACAATGTACAGTAACTTACAAAAAAACACAATATCAGAATTTGACATTTACCAACCTAGGAAAAGGTTTGTGTGTACACTGTACCAGTATTAAGACAAAGTAATGTGTGAAAAGAGCTTATCTAAAATATACACTTGAAGACAATTCAAGTATTGATGCTAAAAATTAACAAATAAACGTATCAAAATAGTCTAATGAGAAGTGTAGTTGTGATGGCTACTAAATAATGTTCCCATGTGAATATGATGATAGAACACTGCAAGGAAATAATTATTTTACTAACCAATAAAAAATTACATCAGTGTTTGAACCAAATCAATCCTATAAAAGCACCCTTTTGAGCAGATCATTTTTGTAAACAAAATTATTTTCAGAGTTTTTACTCATTCATAAAGATATTTTACTGAATCATTTGAGCTTGGTAATGGACCAAATTAAAGTTCAAAATGCCTATACCTTGTATATGCAAATCAATCAAAATACCAGCATTACATGCATACCAGAATCACAACAATACTAGTACCTGTACTTTATACATACCACAATCATGATACCAGTACTATATGCTTCCCATAATCATAATACCAGTAATAGATGCTTCCCACAATCATAATACCAGTACTATATGCTTCCCATAATCATAATACCAGTACTAGATGCTTCCCACAATCATAATACCAGTACTATATGCTTCCCACAATCAAATTCCAGTACTATATGCTTCCCACAATCATAATACCAGTACTATATGCTTCCCACAATCATAATACCAGTACTATATGCTTCCCACAATCATAATACCAGTACTATATGCTTTCCACAATCAAAATACCAGTATTATATGCATACCAGAATCACAATACCAGTACTTTTCGCATACCACACTCATAATACCAGTATTATATGCATACCACATTCTCCAATATTCTTATGATTACTTAGCACTAAGCTAGGCATTCCAAAGTTTTTGCATTAACTACAACATTGCATGTATTTAATAATATTACAATATAATGTTGTAACACTGGAGTATACAAGGAACTTTGGAGTTTAACTGTGCATAATTGTTATTCATAGTATATATGAAAATTCATTTTGTTTCATGTAACTTATCTTTTCAGATGCTACTCATGGTTCTGGGGTTGAATATAAAGAGTCAAGTTCTGCAAAATAAAGGTAACATCAAGTTGAAGACTACACCTCAAAGAGCATATGTTACTTGTAATGCACAAACAAGTGAAGAAAACTATAAATCATAACAACCCCTTTACTACAATAGCCAACTAGACTGCAGCTGCATTTAGTATACCAATATTACAGGTCAAGTCACACATCAGAACATGAAGAAACGATGATGTTTCGGTCCATCCTGCACCATTATCAAGTTGTGCAATTACAAATGTGAGAATGGTCCAGGGTGGACCAAAATGTTGTTATTTCTTAATTTTCTGATGTGTGGTTTGGTCATCATTTCTTCAGCCACACTACTGTGACTCATCGTCTGCACTGTCGGTCAATGTATTGCTGTGATAATAAGACGTACAATACTCACACCATCAATTTAGGTATGAAGATATCACTAAATGCTGGAACTGCTTATGTAATTTGTCTGTGCATTGACTCTCCAGGTTATACAAATTTCCATAATAAGTATGCAATGAATAACAAACTATTCAGTAATTGCAAAAGATCATAGGATAAATATTTTCATCAGCTACTTAATTTAAGGTTTATCTATACACTGTACTGATTTTTAACCTAGACATATAAGCGGGACGGCATGAGACTAGCAGCCGGCCACAGGTTCCATATCAAAAGCTTCTACAATGATTCACTAACAGCTTTGTGCTGGATGTGTGTAAGGCATTGCTGACCAACTAAAAGGAGATAAATTATCAGAGTACTATCATAGTACTCTCAAAGGCTCTTGACTGCACGTACAACCACTGATACTCATAAAAGCCTCCCAAATATTGGAATGCTGACGAGTATACAAGCTACTTAAGACTATTTCACAATGTCATAAAAAACATGCCAGAAGAATTGTGATTCTTTGGTTAGGATAAGAAAATTTATACAATACTATGAGTGCACTAAAATGGGTAACAATTTAGACAAATACTGTATATCCTCAAAGCCTAACAAATGACATTTACTGTTAAGACTTACTTAAATTTGCTCTTACAAAAGCAGCTACATTAAACCACAATTAAACTACATTTCAAAAGGTGTTATGTGACATTCACCACAACCCAGGAGACAACATAATGTGCTCTAACATATTTGTGGTGCAATATATTCTGGATCTTAAAAATTAAATTATATGAGGACTTAGAATTTGCTGACAGAGTATCTGTAAGGCTAGATAAACTGTCTTGGTTGGTACAAACAAAGAAATAATTCTTCCTCAGGAGTCATTCTAATCAGAAAGATAATATGCAGTCATACACTAAATAATTTTGTGTTTTTACCAACTTGGCATAATCAAAAAAACAAAAACTATAACACCAATCAGGAAGAAATGACTTGGCACACAAATATATAAGTACAGTAACAACATGGCAGAGAAACACCACACTGCAATGCATTACAGATCTGAAGGTTAGAATACATACTGGAAAGTTCCTATAATGTTCTATTACTCTTGAACAATTAGAATTCTTGTAAAACATGTTCCTCTGCACAAGCATGAAGACAAATGAAAACAAACCTAGTGTCACTTTAGTGCATACACACATAGTAACTAAAGATATGAGCATATCGAATCACAACACTCGCACGATTCTTCAGAGCAATGCATGTCGTTTTAGAAGGGGAGCAATGGGATACTCCAAAAGTACCCAAAATAGAATCTTAAGTACACCATCAAACCTATAAATCATCTTGAGAATTTATGCCATGATAAAAACTTTACATAACTGTTGTTGAAGTCTACTGATGCTCCTGTGGTTCTATTGTTCATCTGGAGAGATTGGAAGTCGATGTTGCCGAGGTGGAAGAAATGGGTGGAGAGTCAGACGTTGTGTCGTCATCAGGAGGTGCAAGTTGATACAAAGGAGCACCACACATTACAGCTATTGCGGCATCTTCACGTTCCATTCCACGAAGCTCATTTACTAGTAAACCTGGTAAATAAAATTGCTTAACAGATGAAAATTCATGTGCATGTGCATTTAAGCATCCAAATGCATATATGCATATACTGTACTGTATACCATAAGTGGGGAGAGGGGGGAGCAATGAAGGAGACTATATGAAAAATGAGTGGGAAGGAAAGTGGGATGAATAAGTGTCATACCATAAATAGCACAAATCACTTACCAGCCAAGAGATATAAAAAATTTGTAAATAATAATGAATAATTTATTAATACCACAAGTAACCAACTCTGAAGAGCTCCTCAAATATAAAGAAAACAGAAGTAGCAGCCTTACCAAGTGTGGCTGTAGGAGCATTTCCCCAGGAGTGTAACAGTGTTGCCGTGGGGGAAGGCTGAGATGAGCCACATTGCGTGTCCAGCGAGGGTAAAAGCTGCTGTAGCCCTAATTTTACTGCCAAAACACACCTGTAAGACAAACCAATATCCAAATAAATTATCATGAGGATGATCTTCTAACATGAACTTCTTTTTTTTCTCCATTATTCTACTATGCATGGGAAGCACAAGTGTGTTTGTAATGAGATGGAAGCTGACCATCATGCCTGGTACGCTATGAACTGTGCAAGCTCCAAGTAGTAGGCATGCAAGATACAAACAAGTTAATTACAGTGTCAAGAGAAACCTTGGTACAGCCCAGTGCCCAGCAGACAGAAAACCTTGATTTCTTCAGACTCAAAATCTCTGCAATTTTGTTTGTTGCCCAAATGCTATCACAATATTTATCTGGTTGTTTGGCAGACAGCTGGTGCAGGACTATATACGTAAATCCACTCTGCAGCTAATACCAATATCTCCTTCATTGTTGATCAAGCAGGTGACACCAGACAACCATAGAAGGCAGTAAAGTGTATTAGCCATATGGAATTGAATCATTAGTACACTTATACCTACCATATATGTACCTGTCAATAATTCCAAGGATCAATGTCCCCACAGGGTGGTCTCTGACCAGGCCTCCTGGTTGGTGGTCTAGTTAACTAGGCTGTTTAACACAGCTACTTACAGCCTGATGAACAAGTCACAACCTTGTTGATCTGGTATCCTTTGAAGGTGCTTATCAAGTTCTCTTTTGAACACTGCAAAAGGTCAGCCAATTATGCCCTGTTTGTGTAGGTACAGTGTGTTGAAAAGTCTTGGCCCTTTAATATTGAGTGAGTTGCCTATTGTACCTCTGCTTTTCAATGGGGCTACTGAAGGTACATACATTCAATGAATGTATAGACATCCTACCATGCCATTTGGTCTCATGTGGTGTTATTTCTGTATGGAGATTTCGAACCAGTCCTACTAGTATTTTCAAAATATAAATTATTATGTATCTCTACTGCCTGCACTCTAGGGAATATAGATTTAACATTTTAGGTGGTCCCAATAATTTAGATGTCTGAGTGGATTCTAGCAGTAAAAGATCTTTGCACACTCTCCAGGTCAGCAATTTCTCCAGCTTTGAATGGGGTTGTTAGTGTGTAATAATATTCCACTCTAGAGAGCACTAGTGTCTTAAAAAGTATCATCACTTTAAGAGAGACTTTTCAGATGAGGTCAAAATTCCAAAAATATTCTTGAAAAGCTGCATATTTGGTGTACCAACACCAACAGACATGCAAAGGTGCTAAGTTTTCTGTATCCTCGGTTCTGTCCAGTAGTCGAGGATCTCGGAGAAGGTTTACAACACTTTGACCATATATTATAATCCAAAATACCTAAGTAAGTTTGTAAAATAAATGGAATATAAATTTGGAATGATAATGGTCCAGGACGGACCGAAACATAATTTTTTGTGTCGCTTTCTGGTGTGTGGTTTTTGGTCATCACACACACATATATTATTATTATATATATTATATATATATTAGTGAGATACTAATATCTTATCCTTTTATTGAATGGACAGGGACACACACATGGGGGGATTAATTCACTAAGGAAAAATGCTTTAAAATTCATGCTATAAAACATACAACTCCTTCACAAACTCCTCCCACCAGCCTCCATGGCAGCTTGGATCACTCAGGGCACACACTCGCCTGCTGTCTTCTATCCTACAACACTTCTGCTGAGACCACTATGTGTTGACCAAACCACACACTAGAGTGTGAAGGGATGATGACATTTCGGTCTGTCCTGGACCATTCACACACAATTGACTTGAGAATGGTCCAGGACGGACCGAAATGTTGTCGTCCCTTCACTTTCTAGTGTGTGGTTTGGTCAACATATTTCAGCCACATTATTGTGACTCCTCGTCTCCACTCTATGCGTATGTTTTTGTTATGTGACTAGCCTTCATTTGAACTTTTGTTCTAAAATCTGGGGTCATGTGTAAGCATGTTAATTTCTGTGTATGAATGTGCATGTGTGAGCACACACACACACTGAACATATATGTTGAATGTATATACAAAATGTACATACTGTATTTCTTTTTTTTTGTGGTTCACCAAATAACCACAGGCCTATGGAGGATGCACAGATTTGATTATGAAGCATAAAATACTTGTCTCCAAGCAATAAAATAAACCATGACTAACATGACATTAGAAGCAACAAAAGTGTAAATTGAGTTAAGCAACTAACCAGTCAGATCCACGTGGATGAGATGGGTCCATGTGAGCTGCTAATCGTTGAACAGTCACCGTACACAGGCTGGAGATGTGCACTTCTCCACCAACTATCAAACTGGACACAACCTGGTAAAAAACAATTCATTACAATATGTTATTTGTGTCTTTGTTCATATCTTGCCTTCTCTAATACCTACCCATTATTTTCACTGTCATGGAATCCATTAGAGTTGGAAATCTGCAAAATAGAGAGCTGGTTTCTTAGTCAAAGTGAAGATCACTAAACCTGAAGGTATAATAGCATCTCATAGCATCTAAAGGTATCATGACTAATAATGATGATTCAAGCAATTAAAGTACATCCAAAACTCTCTGTTCCTTACAGTTAGGGGGGGTGGCTTATGTTTATACAAATACAGTACAGTATTGCTATCACTTTAGTTTCACAGGAGACAAGGTATCAAATTTATAAATGGACATGAAAGAAAAGAAAACTTACATCTTGGGATCCAAAGCAAACTAACTGAGTAAATGTTTCTTCTTTCTCAGTTATTGGGTTGATTAGTGAAGCACGCACACCATTGCCAAGCAGTGCTGTGTAGATGTCTGCTGGTGGCCAAGCATACACAGTGGGTGAGTGAGCAGTAAGTTGCTCAGCACTCAGGACATGCTTTTCCAGTACAAGTCCAGGGCACATTTCAACAAGTACCTAAACAAATGGGACAAGAAGTTAACATATCAGTGAACTAATTGAAGCATATTCCAGACCTTGAAACCCATGATTGATATACAGTAGTTAAATGGGCAACTTTGGCTCTTGAGATTACAAATAAGGCTCAGAGGAAAAGAATGACTAATGAAAGGAAATAAATTATTTGTAGGAAATATGTTTAAAGATGAAGTAAATATATATTGCATATTGAAAAAACAAAAACAAAAAAAGACTGCCATGGTTATCCATAAAAATCATGGATGAATGCTAAATGAACAAAACCATGGTAAATATTTAAGCTACACTCTACCTGATCAATCATGGCTAGAAGATCTTCCATGAAGAAGAATGCAACAGGGCCTGATTCAGGTGGTCCGCGTACTTTCAACTCAATAGCTTCTCCTCCCTCCTCAAGAGTAAGAAGAGCTTCCAAAGGGCCTGAACAGAACTTGGAGCCACTGCACCATTGATATAAGTCAGTATCTCTCTCTGGGTATTCTTGCCAAGATCTTCTAAGCTGAACCTTCAAATACAATGGGATATTAAACATCAACTTAAATATAATAAAGTAATTACAGTAATAATAAAATTAAAATTCATAATGCAACAAAATTAAGAACAAATTTCCTAAGATTTGAAGTTATATTTTATCAAGTATTAGCAATACAAATAATGATAGGTGACTTAGACCAATGAAAATGCAAACAAAATACAATACACAAGAAATATGGACCTTTTACTTTTTAACATCCATCTACCCAGAATGCTATTTCATAAATATAAGAACATCCTCTACATACTGTTGTATTATTTCAATGAGTATTTCTCGGAGGAACAAACCTGCAAGCGAATATATATTGGTGGCAGAATGTACTGTGTTGGTGCAGGAGATCGTAGCCTGACTCCACCATACACACCATCCGTGTAGCGTGGATCAACCTTTTCCCACAAGCCATCAAGAGTTTCAACTTGATTGAAGCATGGAAATTCATATTCAATTTCTCCATCATTATCACACTAGAAAGGTTATACAAAAAAATACAAAAAATTGGAGCATTTGCTTTCTTTTATACATGATACGGATGAATTTATCTGCAATGGAAGTCTTTAAACAACAGAAACTCAGAATTGTCTAGAAAGGTCTTCAAGATATGAACAAACAGGAAATATAGCAACAGATAATAATGGTTAAACATATGCAGATCAGTCAAATAAAAACAAAGGGTCACTCACTTCAAGTGTGTTTTAAATGTCATTTTCCATGCAATTTTATTATCAAAATATTGTATGAGAAAATGTAGCACATGCATTATATTCTATATACAGGCATGTGGCCACAAGGCGGTATCAACCTGCTCATACAATAGACATGGATTCAAATGTATAGATGGATATAATCATGTTTTTCCAATTCAGATCTTGGGACCCCTCTGTACTCTTTTTTGTCATTTCAACCTAGCTATGATTATTTTTTGTTACCTAATCCCAGACTCGATGAACAATGCAGCTTTAATTCATGTTTTCCAACAGTTTGTATTATCTCAATACTGTACTCAATCTCATATTAAATTTACATTAATTTTTTAATTCACATATAATTATGTGCAATTTGAAACCCTATCATCTGGCAAGAGTGGCAAGGGAGCCGGTCGGCCGAGCGGACAGCACGCTGGGCTTGTGATCCTGTGGTCCCGGGTTCGATCCCAGGCGCCGGCACGAAACAATGGGCAGAGTTTCTTTCACCCTATGTCCCTGTTACCTAGCAGTAAAATAGGTACCTGGGTGTTAGTCAGCTGTCACGGGCTGCTTCCTGGGGGTGGAGGCCAAGTTGAGGACCGGGCCGCGGGGACACTAAGCCCCGAAATCATCTCAAGATAACCTCAAGGGCAAATTACTGAGAATATGCATCAGGTCCGGGACAATATAATGTGGATTTTGGAGTTGTCTGTACTGCTTTATCTTTCTTCATGGTTACCATTCTTCATATTATGAAAGCTTCCACCAAATCTCTTAGCTGGAGCACTTCTCCATCTTCTATTGCTAACTCAAGAGTTTATATTTTCTTAATACTGTATAACTAATTTATTTTCAAGGCATCCCCAGTCATTATACTTACTTGAGTGCATAGGTGTAAGGCCTCTAAGACCTGCAGTAGGTCTAATGCATCACACTCAGGAAAGCTCATCTGAAAGTCATCCACGGTGTAGCAGCCTGCACCAAAACAATAAAATTAAATAAGTTTTGAGTTGAATACTAATAAACTTGTTTATATATATACCGTATTAATAAAAATTAAACCCAGCATATGGACATACAAACATATACATACATATATAATATAATGTCGTGCCCAAAAGCCAGAACTGCACTTTTTGGCCTAGTATGCAAATTCTGATGTGCCTAACAGGCAGAATGATTTTTATTATTTTCAAATATTTCGTTCCAAATTGGTTCTTTTCTAACAATAATAATTTATTATATTAGGACCATGAATTACTGACATAGTTATGATAGGATAGGTTTAGTTAGGATATGTAGGATAGGATAGGTTAAGTTAGGATAGGATAAGGTATATTAGGATAGGATTAGATTAGGATAGGTTAGGTAAGGATAGGTTAGGTTGGGATAGGGTAGGTTAGGATAGAGGTTATATGTAGGTTAGGTTAGGTGTGATCAAATTTATTTGTTTTGACTCAAATAACATAAAATTGCAATCATATATAATACAATGAAAACTATAATTTCACAAGAAAAAGGTTAGGAAAAATTAAATATTTCTTGAAAATTCATCTTGTTAGGCAACTCTGGCTATTAGGTACGACATGTATACATATATGTATATATGTCGTATACATATATGTACATACACAAATTATATATATTATATATATATATATATATATATTATATATATATATATATATATATTATATACATGTTATGTCGTCTGTATTATATACATACAGTCTTTCCTGTAGACATATATTATTAAATATGACCGAAAAAGTAAGATTAATAATTCTAACACGAATTTTCTCAATCTTTCTTATATTTCTTTTCACTGTTGATGTTAACTGAAAAATCAATTCTCCAAAATTCATTTTTATTTCTAGTCTGACGCGACACTTGAACGCGTTTCGTAAAACTTATTACATTTTCAAAGACTTTAGTTTACACACACACAACTATAACTGAACAGAGTTTAAACAGCTTTGATTTTATACCTGCATTTGGGTGAGGTGATATGTTGTAACATATGCACCTCATCCAAATGCAGGTATAAAATCGAAGCTGTTTAAACTCTGTTCAGTTATAGTTGTGTGTGTGTAAACTAAAGTCTTTGAAAATGTAATAAGTTTTACGAAACGCGTTCAAGTGTCGCGTCAGACTAGAAATAAAAATGAATTTTGGAGAATTGATTTTTCAGTTACCATCAACAGTGAAAAGAAATATAAGAAAGATTGAGAAAATTCGTGTTAGAATTATTAATCTTACTTTTTCGGTCATATTTAATAATATATATATATTTATATATATATAATATAATGTTTTATTTAAACATGCATCTTGCTTACCAGTGACTCTTGCCTGGGCAGCATACTGGGTAGAAAGGAGATGTCCTAACTGCTGGTGAGTAAGCCAAGCTGGGTCTAGCACTACAAGGTCCTGTGCTTCTGCCTTTAAGTAAACAACTTCCCCCATCAGTTGCAGCTGCTGAACGACCTACATGATATTAGGAAAAACATTAGAAAGAAAACAGATGAATATTAGTGTTAGTGGACATAGGTTTTATCGATTATGCGAGGTGTGGTCAATAAATTCTGAGTGACAGTTTAGTAGTGTATAACGTGACTGAAAATCAGACACCCACCCACACCCAACCCACAAATCTGAAAATAAAAGAATTTATAACATTTTGGTCTGTCCTGGACCATTATCAAGTCAACTTGGTCCAAGATGGATTGAAATGTCATCAATTATTTTATCTTTAGATTTGTGGAATGGGTATATACTTTTGTCTTTAAGTTATTTGACTTTCACTCACCTCACGTAGATGTTCTTCGCCAGCTAGAGGGTTGACTCGTTGATGAGTTACGTCAACAAACTGGGGCCATGACACAACAGGAAACTCTCCTAGTGATGCTCGCCACTCAGCCAAAGTGCTAACCACTGCTCCTAGGAAGCCTGTCACTCGCGGCACTCCCTGCACAGTTAATAATATAAAAATAACAAAATATTTCAATGATTAAATGTGCATTAACACTACCCTTTAATAGTATTATTTTAATATTTAAGAACATGTAATAATTTTAAACATTGCTAAAACTATTATAAACTTTGTTAAAATCAAATTAAACATGTACAAAATCAATTAAGCCTAGGGTTAAACAAGTAATATATTTAACTTGTGTAATTCCACTATCACTCAATTTCAGCTATTATAATGCAAGTTTTACCTATTTGACATCCAATACTTATTCAAATAATCAAGTTTTATTTAATATATTTAAGGTGTGACTGAAAAGTTTTAAGACTAAATATATTTGTATTAAACTTTGTATGTAAAAGTTAAAATAAAATATTTGAATTCATACTCGAGTTGTGGGAGGTCGGCCCCTTGAACACTATTACACCATCTCTCTCCAGTGGTGCACAGGAGGAAGGAAACTTCAGCCCTTACTGTTATGCATTTCATAATAATGAACAGGGGCCAGATTCACGAAGCAGTTACGCAAGTACTTACGAACGTGTACATCTTTCCTCAATCTTAGACGGCTTTGGTTACATTTATTAAACAGTTTACAAGCATCAAAACTTCCCAATCAACTGTTGTTATTGTTATAAACAGCCTCCTGGTGCTTTGGAGCTCATTAACTGTTTAATAATTGTAAACAAAGCTGCCAAAGATTGAGAAAACACATACAGGTTCGTAAGTGCTTGCATAACTACTTCGTGAATCTGGCCCCAGATTCTCTATATATTTCAGAATACTTCTCTGAAATACTACAAAAGATCACATTAAAGTACCTTTGTTGGCTGTTAAGACTATTGTATGACAAATGCTTGGCAAAGCAAGCCATCATGAAATGTGCTGAACCCTTAAAAGTGTTTAACCATTCAGAATCTGTGATTACCTCCTGTGCTCAAACTGTCATATGCTACTTTTTTTTCGAATAGTTTGTGAACTATTTTTTGTCGTGCACCATACTGTAGGACTTTGAATTAATCGAGCCATTTAAGGGTTAATGCCACATTAATAGCTGTACTTTCCTACCTACTACCCAGTGCAGAGAGATGATCCAACACTCTCCGAGACATTGACCAGCATTCACATAATTAGTTTCACTTTTATAACCCTTTGTATACTCTATGTGTATATGAAAAATAGTAAAATTTCTAATATCCATACAAAAGCATAACTACTAGCTAATCAAGACCTAATATGCAGGGACTGTAAACTCAGACTATTAAAAACTTTAGTACTTGATAACAAATCTTTACTCTCAACAGGAAGAAAATGAAGATGGAATGTGATTTGATAGAATACATATATAAAACTACTGTAGACTTATTGCAAGAGGTACAAAACTAATCACTGGCTCAGTAATCTTCAAATATATGTCCTTCTATTAATATTTTCAAAATCTTGTAATGTTTACATTTACATTTTTATTCTAAAAGCTGCATAATAAACGTGAAGTTTGAATGCAGTCCATTATTATAGTTCTTGAGAATTATTGAATGTTCTTTCATGAAACAATATTATAGTACAAATAAATAACATAATTTACCTGCAATAACCCATATCTAATAATTTTATCAATTAAATTGAGCATTTGTGTATTTGACTATTTTGTAAACAAGTATGTTGTTGATATGTTACCAATAATACAACTAACTTAAAGTTTGTTCAATGAATATTTACAAAATTTATCAATAAAATTTGAATATTCCCTGTGCCATGCATAAGGCCATACAATTAGCAACCACTGATATTAAAGTTGCATCAAAATATGTAATACAGGAAATTATCATTAGCCATCCAACACTGCAGTGGGATGAATTTAAAATATATTAATATCAAAGGACTACATGAAAAATAGAGAGAGATCAGTCAAGATCAATACAATACTTGAATCTTTAATGTGGCTTGATATTGTATATTGTTGTTATACAGCATGACAAAGTCATCCCTAACATAGGCACGTGGTATATACACACCCTTTAGCATTGTATTATGATTCATAGCTCTCATCCAGTATGTACAATGACTACATAGATCTGTCTTGACATAACTTGTTAACAATAATAATTTACGCTATTATATTAAAGATTACCTTTGGTTCATATCTGTTTTCTTTCCCTTGTTTTGATTCTTATAACTGACTTTTGAAGCCTTTTTTTCCCACTCTGGAAACTTTCATGCCTTCAGGAGGTACTCTTGTACCATCGTACAGTACATACTCAACTGATTACCACAATACACTGTTAACAAGTGGCACTAAAACTGTCACAAAATTAAAACCTGCCTATCTGACTAAACATTAAGATTAAGAGAGTTCATGTTTGCATAATGATGAAACAGTCATACTAACTGCTTATATTAGCAAAAGAATACCATTGATGAATAACATACAAAAAAAAAAGACCATTTGTTCACTGGGAACTTGAAGACATGTTTAACCCTCTAAATGTGGTTATCATCAAAACTGTCACATCACCTGTATTCATGACGATCAAACAACATCAGAAGATGCAGAAATGACGACGTTTAGGTTTATCCTGGACCATTATCAAGTCGTGCGTGACCAGACAAGTTGATAATGGTCCAGGACGGACCGAAACGTTGTCGTTTTTCCATTTTCTGACGTGTCTTGGGTCATCATATCTTCAGCTACCATAACTTTATTGTGACCCAATGTCTGCACCTGCATGCATGGATTTAGGTGTTTGATCGTAAGTTGACAATTACATAAGAACAGAAAAATAAAGGGATTGGCAAAAGACCTTTTTGCCCATATGCAAACTCATTCACATATACATCTAACCTTGTTTGAAACAATCCAGCAATCAAACGTCTATTGTGTTATCCAGTAATTTGTTTAATAAATAAACAACCCATTTCTAAACCAGCATTTACCCAGGTCTTTCTGAATCTAAATTTTCTCTCGTTCATATGTTTCATTTTCTATTTTATGATGATACTGTAAATTTAAAACTGTAGTTATACCCACCCTTGTTATACCCTTTTATCCATTTATATAGTGTACAGGGTACTTCTATCATGTCACCCCACCCCTTAGGACATGATAACCTCATTCACAGAGTAGGGAATTATACAATGTTAGTACTCTAGAATTTTTCCATTACATTGACAGACTATAATAACCCTATTAACCTCTTAAAAGTTTTTGTGATGCCAACAGTAGTCATTTGCTCAAAATGCCAGAACGTTCTGACGACGAATGTTGTAGTAATTTTCAACTTCATGTCAGCTAAATTTAACTCGCCTATTTGTTATTTTATTATGCTTTTATTGCATTTTGAAAACATCATCATAAAGTACAACTCTTTAGCCTAAAAACAATACCAAACTGAACACTTTACCATGCATAGTAACTTTGCAGTATGTGTTGGGAGTAAAAATATCACTAAGCATTTTGCGCTTATCCCATGATGCTGGTGATGCCCCAAAATTTTTAAGGGTCCAAAAATGTTGAAGGGAGTTAACATCATTAGTTTGAAACTTAAAAAAAAGAAAAATGCAATAACCACAGTAGCCCAGGAGATCAACAAGTAACGATAACCACACACTGAGGGTTAAACTGTTTTATGTGTGGGTAATATTTTGGATTTTTTTATTTTATTTTATCAGGGAATAAACACTTCAAGACCAAACACTCCACAACATGCTTATCACAACACTTTACAGACTTAAGTACTGTACTTATTAAAAAATGGTTTCCCTAAGAAAGATTATTTTAAAACAAGCAATTATAACAGAAAAATCTATAAACAATGCAATAAGAAACATATACAAACCTTAAATTTATCAAACATTTCAAAATATATTAATGTATGCAATTCTTGGTACAATACTTGCTACTTGCATAATATTTACTGTGGAAAATATGAAGCATTACTGCACTAACAACATGCTACACACACACACAAACAATACAAACAATACAAACAACAGTATAAAGCAGTAAGGCCTAAAACCTGTACCAGCATGAACAATATGATGTCAGTGATGTCACACACACACCTCCTCCACACCATATAGAAAACACAATGTGGTATATTTTTTTTGTAAGCTTAGGCCATGGTTAGGATAGGTAAGACAGGATACTGTGCATTAGGATAGGTTAGGTTGGGTCAGGTTAGGTTACTGAGGTGCTGACAGAGGGGTACATACTTTTCTCAGGTCTTAGACCCTACTCATATAAATAACATGCCCAGAATGCTCACTAAATTAACATTCACACACGTATGACTTGTTGGAATACTAGCACAGACCAGAGTACTGAACACCATTTCCATCATCACTACAGGTCTTATGTGATCAGTTAAGCAATCTCACATACATGGATTCTTTAATTACTAATATGAATGTTATACTTAATTTACCGTTTTAAGAAGCTAACGAAGATGAATAAACTTGTAAAATCTATAACTTACAACAGAAAAGCTAATATAAATAATATTGCTACAGAAATATTACCATCTGTATTTTATATATTAGAGTGGGAGTAGAGAAGAGAGGGCGGGAGAATGGGCGAGATTACAGATTATATTGTATATATATGCAACAACAATCATAAAAACACTGATCAAAGTACAGTATGTGGAAAAACCACATTGAAAAATAAAAGAATGCTAAGACCCGTTTTTGACTATCAGGCCTTTATCAGTGGCTAGACAGAACTATATACTGTATATAGAGTTCAGTCTAGCTGCCGATGATGCTATCAAACTTATGATAGCTCCCTGAGCCCATTATGTGCCTCTGTAACCCTTTTCACTACCTCACTACCACCCACGGGATGGGTATGGGGTGCATAATAAAAAATGAAATTGAAAATTCACAATTTTCTTTTTAATGTTTTAAATCTTCATATGATGATAACCGCATTACTCTGTGAATCAACAGTTGACGATAACTGCTGTCTAAGGGTTAATGAATATATGTAATCATTAACATTAAAGATGCCTGATGGTTTATGAATGAATAAAATGAGATGTATGCCAAAATTTGCAAGATGTATATGATGAAGGCACCCAAACATTCATACCAAAGCATACATGCTTTGAATATAGAAAACAGCACTGATTTAATAGAAGTTGCAAGAGGGTCAGTGAGCAAAGACAAATAATGCAACCAATGTAGGAAGAAGCCAAATCTACAACCATACTAACATTACAAATATGCATGAAACAATTACATGGTAATGAGAAGAAATTTTGAAAAAGGAATAGTGGGCAAATGTAAAACAAAACTCGGCCTATTCTATAAATTCATGAAAAGCAAAGTGCAAGCGAAAGAGAATCGCTACAAAATCCAGAGACTGCAAACGATAAGCAGACAAAGTTTCACAGAAAATGAAAAAGAAATGTGTGAAACATGAAACGAACAGTTCCAGAGTGCATATTTGTGTGAAACAAAATTTTCAGAGAACCAGCTACAATAACAACTTTGGAACACCACCTAAAGTGTCTAAAGATGAGGTAGAAAACTTGCTCTAAGACCTAGACAGAAATAAAGCAGTCAGGTAAACAGTCACTGGCCTTACATTCTGTAGGAAAATGTATAGTATTGTACATCCAAAACTAGCACCCCACTAAACGTTATTTTCCAAACATCCTTATAAACAGTGAAGATAAACAAAAGCATGAGCTTATCTTTAGCTTTTAAAAGAAAAGTAAAAGCTAAAATGTAATGAAAAGGTTGATGTTCAAAAGAAAAATACCTGGATTTTTTAAATATTTAAATAACAAACTGGTATTGAATGAAGACGCATGAAAAATCTGCTTACCAGAGGCCTGGTCAGAGACCAGGCCACAAGGACATTGCTCCTGGAAATGTCCAACATGTAGTCATCTCCAGCCATCATTGACCACTTCCAAGTGCTATATGGTCATAATGACTTGGTGCTGTCCCCTGATAATTCCCTCCCTCCCCTCCAACCCTCATTATTTAAAAGGATGAAATTGTAAGTAATGTTATAATTACCGTAAGGTTGGACTGAGAGCTCTGGCTTACAAAGCAACCAAGGAACATCTCAAAAAGGAACTTTTAATGTTAGAGCCCTAGGTTTTTCCAAGTTTAGACGGGGCTCCATAATAAATCTTTCACAGGTATTCACATCAATTATATCACTGCTGCAGTACCCGAGTAAAACACTAAGGGACATAGCTATTAAAAGAGTTCAGTACATAATGGCCAAGAAATTATAAAACAAAGTGTTTCCAATACTCATGGCTAAGACAAGAAGTCAGCAATGGTGATTATATCTCGTGCAACGTCTTAAGTAAGAATAACATGCATATTAAATATAAAAGTCACAAATAGCAAGGTTCTAAGTTCAACTATATTATTATTAAACTTCCTAAGAAATACATAATAATTTCAATGTATCTACAATTAAGATAGGCATAAAGAACTCTCTACTGTTATGTTCAATCTTTGATGTATTAGTTGTATTATTACCAAGTGCTAATATGCTGCAACTATTCATTTTGTTGTTACATATTTTCCCCTACAGAAAAAAATGAGTGAAGCTTAACTCTGGGTAACAGAAGCGACACTTAGTATTGCTTGTTAAACAAGACTGACTACAGAAGCTGTTCAAGCCACTGAAGGATCGCACTAAGTCACCTCAACTACAAGAAGCCACCATACAACAATGAAGCTAATGATCCAAGTCAAAGATGATAGTGTGCGCTTGGTGTCAAGAATAGATTAGCAATCCCCCATCTCTAGCAAAATATGCTAATTCATATATTGTACTCTACAGTATCACAAATACAATGAGATTTAAAGTTACTAATCTCTTCCATAAACTTGCAGTAATTAGGTATTTTATTAAATATATTTCAATGTGGTGCATTAATTATCGATCCTAACCCTGAATTTTATTTTCCAAGATATATTTAGTGAAAAGAGTGAATTACCTCAGTGTAATATATACTGCTGCATTTATATTTATTAATTGGGATTGAAAATTAAACAATTAACAATAATTTAGATGTTCCAAAAAAAAAAAAAAAAGTTAAAATTTGCAATGATTTTTTTTCAATGTTGGAAATGAAATGGTGAAAGTAAAAATACATATATCAGGTACATTTCTGTGAATGTGTCCACTGCTGAATCTTAAACAATCAGGCTTTGAGTTAAAATGAGAAGTTTCTTTCTATGCTTGCCACTTGAATGTATCCTAAAGGAAGATTGGCCCTGATCTTCCAAGGAGTACACCATGACACTCAGGGCAGGGTAGAATTTTGTTCTGCCACAACAAAGATCTTTTTAGTCCTGCCCAGAATAACTACAGAAAGTTCATTCATAAACACACTCAGGCTTTCCAAGCCCTACTTGGCACCACAATCACCATGAAGCATTGTTATTGCATACATAGGGACATCATAAGACCATACCAGTACGCATCACGGAAACTGCAGTCTCTATTGGCAGACAGCTCCTATTTATACCAAGCCAAACCCATTATCATACCCAACATTCCCTGGAAAAATCTAGCAATCCCGTGTCTAATATATGTTACCCCAGCAATTAGTTTGATAAACCAACAACCACATTTCCAAAGTAATATCTACCCAGGATTTTTTCCAGTTTAAAACATTTGCAATTTGTATCCATTATTTCATGTTCTATTTTATGTGATATACTTAACATCTTCACTCGCTCACTCACTTAATGCTTTAAGATATGAATCCCAGTATCCTATTTGCCTTATTCTGAACATGTACACTTTGATTTTTTGGCTTAAGATCCTTTCTAATTATTATTTCAAGTTCTTTTTTTTGCATTCAATTTTGGCCTTTTCAACATTGTTCAGTTGATATCTAGTAACTTTATTATAATTTCCTAGACTGAGAGCCAGTGATGGAAATGGGTTCGGAAAATTAGCACATGCTGGTTTGGTGACTAGGAATAGTCACGGGCTGCATCCAGGATTTATGCTCTGGGATCAAAAGGGGGTCCGTCTATAATCATAACAACTAAGTAAGTAATTTTAATTCATAGAAACTTGACAAAGGATAGCTAATAGACATCAAACATAAAAACACTGAAAATTGAGAAATAGGTATACACTGTACACCAGCATAATCCCCACCACCTGCGTTTCATCACTACTGAGAACCCTACAATTGTCAGACAGGCCAATTTGCTCTCCTAGCTAAAAAAACCAATTTATCACCAGATAGAAGCACCACCACCCAGGGTTAACCCAGGGACAAAACATCAAGGGGTCACCCAAGAAGAGCAGTGTAGGGAAAGGATCAAAATTACCAGTGAAGTGAGTATGCATAAAGCCATAACCAAACCCAACAGGTGTGTCATGTTAATCAACATATGTGATTATTGATTAAGTTCTAGTCAGATGTCACAGGTAAAAAAAGTCAACACCTTGACTTCAACTACTGGTACAGAACCTATCTCCAAATGTTGGTTCTGAAATTATTTAACACAAGATCCCACTTAAACATGAGCAAAACATTAGTTGAGAGCCACTACAATCAGATACAGCTCTAATTCAAGGAACTTTGAGGAATAGATAATGATCAGACAATCAAAACACTGTCTGATCAGGCTTGGATCATTCCTCATGTGGGTAATCTATCTGAACAGGGATTTGGCACCCAAATACAGGGTTCTTTTAATGATACACAAATTTAATTACCAGTTATGATTACCAAAGAAGAGACTTTGGGGTCAAGACTAAGTTTATTGGCTAACCCTAACAAAACACTTTAACCCTAAGAAAAGGGTAACTTGTGACCAAAACAAAAAATACAAAAAATATACAGTCATGAATGATTCAGTGAAGAACCAAAGAGCCGTGATATTTTGGGAATCTCACCGAGGTGTAACCCACTACTGAAGAAAAAACAGAACCTGCAACAGAGGACAAAACTCTGGCTCATTGACCAATTAGGTCAATAAAGACAAGACGTCTGTACACATGTAAAATGCATTCTAAATAATAACTGTATTGCCATAACAAGAGTAAAGCAAGAGCCCATGTACAGTTAAAAAATAATCAGGAAGAATGTAACTATGATTGAGACGGGGGATTAGGTTTTAGTATGGTGCTGCCATCTAGTGGAATTCAAATGGGCAAACTGCATTAGTAAGTGCGCAACTTGGTTGACCTCGTGATGCTGAATAGGGCTTTGAATATTTATGAGTGAATTTTCTGTGGTAACTGAGCTAGGCAGAGTTTTTCTCCAGTGCTTCCTTATCACCAAGAATAATTGAAAACATCCCTATTATGCTGGTGCTGATTGTCATTCCGCTCTGCATGTCATGATCCAATCCTTTGGGATCAGAATGAGTCTTGCTTTAAGTAGCATTCAGGTGGAATAGCTCAGAATTATATATCTAATGCATAATTTTGGAGGAGAAATTTATTTTAAAAGCATTCATGTTAGCACTGATCAGCAATGCAGTTGAAACACAAACATGTAATAAAATGAGACTGCAGTGCAAGAGCTCACTAATCAATGAAAATAATAACCCACTATTTTTCAAATATTGCGATTGGGATCTTCTTAAACACTGCTGAATAGGATCCCGGGTTGGGATCGAAATACACAACCTACATTTCCTCATGTTTTCAAAATAGGGGGGGTTATTATTTTCATGAAATAAAATATATTACAGAAATCAATATTCTCATTAAGAGATTGCCAACAAATTATGTCAATTCTTTCTCCATTTCTATTATCGGACAACATATTCCCTAGCAAGCCCCAAATTAGCAAGTGAACATATATAAATAAAGTGTTGTGACAAAAGCAGACTACTAGGTATATATACAAAGATAGAGAGCAAAAGTGGTGAGGACAAGAAAGGGTGTGGCAGTCATCACCTCACACGCGTCAGGTTGCAGGATCGTATATCCATCACCGCTAACAGCCGCCCCAACAGCATACGCCACACTGGCTCCGCTCCAGCCCTGCGGCACACGCTCATGCAGTAGAGTTCATTATCCATTCACATATAGTATATAGGAAAAGTGTACCTCACCGAAATCCCCAGGATGAATTAAATATACAAAATTTCAACAATAATAGGCAATGGAAGTTAATTAGGTGAATGGGATTTCAGGAGTACTTTTCCCAATCAGAAATGTGAGGAAATAAACTCTACTCCAGCTTCACACAGCAGTACAATTCTAGGTTATTAGGAAAAAGAGGTCTACACGTGCCAGGCTGAGCCAATGCAACTTACCACACACCACATCTATCAGTATCTTATTGCTGGGTCACTCTTCCCATGAGTCAAGTGTTATCAAGGAGAGAAAAGTAAGTTTATTACGATGACTTGCAAATAAGTTAATCAACCCCCTTTTCAAAAGGTTTTGTGGTAATATGCAGCTGCATTAATGTTAGTATAAAGAGTTAAGAAAATAAGAAATATTATTCGAGACAACATGTAAATACATAAACAGTTCTTTATCAACTCATGCTTTAAACTACATCATTTTATCGCTCTACTGTAGACATGCCAGTCATTCAAGTTAATTCCTCACATCTTCCGCATCATAAAGTATTGGCTAAAATAGAGGGAAAACTGCGGGTAAGTTCAGAATTATCACCAATAACTAGGGTATGATAATGAATTAGCATTTTTCCAAACACACTTTCTAAATACTGTACTGCACTGTGTAAAAGTGTTGGATCTCCGAGTCATTCCCCATGTAACCTTAGAACATTACAGTGTAAGCAAAATATCTCTATGCCTTCCCAATTTCAATATCAGATGGCAAATTACAGCTCCATGATCACATGCAAGGTATAATTTCAGACACGTATGCAACAATCACGACCTGAAAAAATTTGGAACGTGAACCGAATAACAAATACATGGGAACAAGTATAACATGCAATTCAGGTTATTGCCAATTGGGAAGGGTTATATAATCCTAACAATGATACTGATCATGCTATTAAAAAGCATGTATAGATGAAGAAAAACAGGGAATGGAACACAACAAATTTATTGGAAAAATGTATCGTGTCACTGCTAACTTCTAATTATTATTATTATTATTATTTGTTTTAGGTTAATTCTTTCCAAATATCCCATATTAAAATCCACAATAAATTATATACAATTATTAAAAAATTTAGTGTCTGGTTCTGGATGACATTATATTTTAACAAAGAGGTATCATTAAAAAGGCAAATGTGATTAAGAAATAAGAGTAGCAGCAACAGCTAAGCTTTACCAAGCAACCAATCACTAGAGGGCCTGGAGCTACTATGGTACAGGGCCCAATCACTCAAGGTAGAAGACAGTTATTCCAAAAATGGATTTATTTACAACAAAACTGTCGACCAATCAAGCAATTAAATATTGTTCCATAAATGAATTTTTGTGATCAAAATAAAGTCTTTATTCCTTACTACTCCAATCACTATATACAACTTCTTCCTGTGTGCAAAGTGCTGTATGGATGTGATCCTAATGGGTTTTAAATATTTTACTGTCATTGTTCAAGTGCACCATGGGGAAAGACTTTTAAATAGGTAGTACACAGTTTGAGGGTTAGTCAGAATACTTTTCCCATATATATATAGTATCCCTAACATTTTGTATTTGTATATTGGTTCCTATATTCGTTTAATGTAGATGATAAAGGCAAACATATAGTAACTGTGAACTGGATAGCAAAGAAACAATTTAAATTGATTTCTTAGAATTAGTCTGTCTTGAATTTGACATTGGCTGACAGCCCAAAACAAGAAATATGAGTGAAATACATAGCACCCACAAGTTATATATAAGGCAAAAAGTGAAGACAAATTAGTATGTAAAAGCAAAGAATAGTTATGACTAAAGTTATTAAGAATAGAACTATATTAACATAACATATGGAAATAATACGTAGAGGAGACAAAAGCAACAAAGAGTGTAGGGTGAATGATTTGTACAGGACCAAGGTAACAGAGGATGTGTGAGATGAAACAGCTGTACAGGACCAAGGTAACAGAGGATGTGTGAGATGAAACAGCTGTACAGGACCAAGGTAACAGAGGATGTGTGAGATGAAACAGCTGTACAGGACCAAGGTAACAGAGGATGTGTGAGATGAAACAGCTGTACAGGACCAGGGTAACAGAGGATGTGTGAGGTGAAACATCTGTACAGGACCAGGGTAACAGATGCATGTGTGGGTAAACAGATACAGAGGACTAGGGATTATGAATGCAAAGTGTTGCATAAGACCCAAGTAAGAGAAACAGTGAGTAGGCAATGTGCATCGTAATGTAGTCTGAGACTCCTGACTAGTCTTTGGTGCATCACATAAATGCACTGAGTAAGAAAAACTAATAAAGGTATTTTTTATAAGTTGAATTTCTCGTATACATTCTGATAATTCAACACCAGCTATGTGATGTAGCCCCAAAGTATACTATGCTAAATATATTTGAATGTGTTCCAAAAGCTGTAAAAATTCATTGTTACTGTGAGGCTGAATATCAAACAAGTCCAAGATAATCTAATCTCAAATTAATTCACTAATGAAATGCTAAATAAAATAGCATGCCTTTTAAATTAGACAGCATATTAACATAATTTTTTACTTAATTGTAATACAGCTTAATCTCTTGTAAATTTTACAAAGTGATCTTACTTTGATAACTATATATTACATGTGGTGATTATGTTAACAAAGAAGTTGGATATTAAAGCAAAGCTCTACAAGAACATGACATTATATTCTGAGTGCCTAGTCGTCATTTTGTGCAGATGATTAAATATTTCAAAAGAATAACAGAATAATAATAATAATAATACAGTATTACCAAAATGATGGTAAACATTTATACATATGAACTTACAGTACTTGAAGATATTACCTTAGTTAAGCAAATGCTCTGATACCAGGAGACATTCGTACAGCATGCACACAAATTATATCTGAATATTGTCACGCAACCTTAAACTTGTTCAACCTGTATCCACACTAACACTAACCTGAGTAACTTTGGCTTTACAGTCTGCTAGATACTGCTTGAGAGCTCTAATAGGTGTCGAGCCTGGAGCTGTAGCATCCATCACATACACAGTGTCATGGACTTCAAATACATCACCATAAAGATCCAGTAGCTTCTCCTAAAGTAATCACCAAGTTAAGATAAGATGGCACAGACTAAATGCAGAGTAAATTAGCATTATTGTTAGACAACACTACAAGTTAAATGTTTGAGAGGGGCTGTAAAGGCACCAGATGATTATTTTGTATTTACAGTTGCCAATAAAATATATTACTTTAAAATATGAGCTTCATCAAACTGGAACATCATATAGTGAATGTTAAAATTTTTTGCTGGTCTTGACCTTTGACACTAAGAGGAAAGCATACAAAGTACTATCAGAGTCAAGAGATCTGGTCTGGTCAATGTCTGACTTTCACAATACTCTTCCCACTTCAGAGAGCAAATCCAAAATGCTATTAATAACTTTCGTGAGAAAAACTTGACAACTTGTGGCTCACCTGGAGGAGATGGACTTGTGGAGCCACGTAGTCTCCCTGGAGGTTGCGGTGACACTGAGCCGCATCGGCATGAGTTCCAACTAAAGCCACTTTTGCTGGTTTACTTGGCTTTCCTCTAACATCTGAAAGGAAAAATTACCTGCAGTATTGTATCAACTGAATTTTTACATTACATTTAATTTATCTGATTATTTATGTGGAAAGGAAGGCATTAGCAACTGAGAATCCTTAAAAGAATTAAGGCACAATGTCAACAGAAGCCAAGAATATCATGCTTTTATAAGTTTTTAATCTGTTCATATATTTAGGGGACTAAAAACACTTCCATACAAATATTCAGGATGTTTCAATATTTTAGATTACTCTAATTTTATAAATAATGAATTTGATAAGTTATTTAACCATGAAAATAGGTTCTGACCAGTCACCAATTTCACATACAGTAAATCTAAAAAGCTCTTTCAACAGCTGATAGATGGGTTAATTAGGAATTAAATATTTTGTAGTTCTTCTTTGATACAGATACTGTATGTACTAAAATTAACACATACTCATAAGAAAGACTCGGAACACATGCTGGAAGTCGGGTGTTTGAGACCCCTAGTGCCCAGGTGAATGAAATACTCATAAGCACCAAAACAAGACGACACGAGAACTTACTTAGAGGTTCCATAGGAGGGATCCGAGCTTGGAGAAAAGACATCCAGAAGGAAGACTGTTGTAACTGAACATCAAAGGGCTGGTTGAGGGGAAACACAATGAGGTGGACACATGATGTGTTGCCAATAAAGTGATCATATACGGGGAAGTAAGCCTCGTGGCCAGAAAACTCCCACAGTGATAATTCACCCACACCAGAGATATTAACCTAGAAAAATAAAATAAATACCACTCATAAAATAGTAGAAGTAACATAAAATGGCTTCACAATTATTGCCAAGCTAAACACTTGAAAGTGGCCAAAATATTAAGAGGCAGACTACATAAAGTCTTCAAAGAACATGATAAAAGACCAATAAATAAACTTGAACAATACTTCTTTTGCTTAGAATTAATGTGACCTAGTTATTATCCTGACTCATATATAATGTAATAGTCATTTAGCAAAATCAATGAGACATAAATCTTAAACTGAAAACACATAATTAAAAACAAATAACACAAACATTGTAAATTAGCAAATATAAAATAATCAGTACAAGTTCTTGTAAATAAAAACAAAATAGTTATTTACAAATAAAAATAAAAATGTATTACCTGCTGTACATCGATGCCTTTAGTGTAATTCTCACAGGGTTCAAAGGTGAGCGAGTTCTGGCGAGAGCTTACAGGTGACTCCATCTCAAAATGACCCTTCATGGCAGAAGGACCTAGTGCAAGTCAATAACAATCACCTTTTATATTGAGCACTTTAAAAAAAAAACTAAAATTAGGTACAGTATGATTCAAATCACTCATTCAATATTGATCAGCATCCCTAATTGAGCCAAACTATACCTGACAGTACTTTCTCCCTAAAAAGATTTCATGTCAGAAAGTAAGGTCTGTGGGCCGCTCCAAGCAACAGCCTGGTGGACCAAACTCTCACAAGTCAAGCCTGGCCTCGGGTCAGGCTTGGGGCATGGAAGGACTCCCAGAACCCCATCAACCAGATATCAAGGTATGCCCCAGTGCAAAGCATTAATTTTAATTTTCCTCTTTTTAGGTATAGCACATTCTTTAAGCATTGTGTACACATTTCCCAGAGACTTACTCTTTCCGGCTGATCCAATGGATGAGGTTGATGTGGTGCTTTTACTCCTGCGAAAGAAAGAAGAGAAGTACCCAGTCTTCAGTGTTTCAACGAGCGCCGTCTTTCCTGCCCCAGAATGACCCAAGATTTTCACTTTTATCCGTGGAATAGAAGATGGACTTGGAATGAGCTGCTGAATATACTCTTCTCGCTGCTGTTCCTGAGGGAATAGCCAGTATGATCTTTAGTAAATACAAGAGAGGACTTGATGCAATATACATTTATTTTGTGAAAACTAACAACTATAAATGTACAAATATTTATGAATAAAGTTTTTAAATTTTAAAATGTAATATGAATTGACTGGCAATATATCTGCTGGTAAAGGAACAAATATATAATTGCCAGAAAAATATTTTGTCCTATATTCGACAATATATGAAGTGATGAAATCAAATTGTATATCTTTTGAACTATTGTATAATACACACAAAGCAACCTATCCAGAAGAGTTATCAGTGTACATATTTTAGCATTTCAACAATAAATTGTTCATTAGAGTACATGGGGTATGCATATGGAGTACATGTATAAAACAAGTAAAATCTAATGTGGAGATAAGGAGAAAACACAAAACATGTGTTCCATTAATTCAAATTATATTACAATTTTAATTTTCTGATCTAACCATGTTGCTTCTTTTCTGAAGCAAGTCTCATCCGTTTCACAAATTATATATCAAATAATATATACATGGAAGATATTTGAAGGCCAGGTCCCAAATTTGCACAGCAGAATAACATACTGGAGCGAAAGATATGGAAGGAAATGCAAAATAGAACCTGTGAGGAGTCGAGGTGCCATAGGCATAATCAGAGAGCTCTGTCTGAACATCAGAGGTCCACTGCTGTCCAACATCCTCCCAGCAAGCATTAGAAATATTGCCAGTACAAAGGTGGAAGTCTTCAAGAATCATTTAGACAAGCTCTTGCAAGAGGGAGGGAATTAAACTATCAGGGTTAAGTGCCAAGCCATTACAACTACATAGCACTTGGAAGGAGACAGGATTAGGATTTGGGATGGGATGGGGGGGGGGGGAGGAGGAGGAATAGTGCCTATCAACGTGGACAGTCAGGGATCGCTCCCGGTAGGATGCACAAAGCTTGGGTACCTGGCACATTTTCAGATGGTATAGGGTACCAGAGCCTTAAGTCCCAGGGACTACCCAGAAAAATGGGCATTTGTTTACACTTAATGCTATATATTTTATTGGAATTAGAACATATAGCTACTTACCCCTCTAAGTTTGTTGAGGAGATCAGCAATATCATCATATCCTTGAGCCATGGCTGATACTTCTGCCAATATTCCGTCACGGCTCTTCTGTTCCACTGTGCAGCCAGCCAAACACAGGCATCTAAAATTCCAGGAAAGATATTTAGAGAACATCTTGTCATTTGATGCAATTTATAAATTTTCAAGATTCTTTAAAGTGGTAAATTAATTGGAAAGTAATACACAAGCTTTCTGCAAGCACATGTCTAATACAAATGCAGGCAAATCAGTCACAGGAAAAAAAACAGGACCAACATAATTAGAGTACTGTACAATACAATCAACTCATGATTTGCTGAACCAATTGTTTTGCAGTTCTCACATTCACTTGCTCCCTATGATAAGAATGCATTTTTCACAGTTTACGATGCTACCACAATACTCCTCAAATACTTTCTTGTAAATACTCTTTGTACTTTTGCACAGCTTGAATACTACTCAATACTCACCTCTCCTTTCAAGGCAGAAGAGATTTCTGAAATAGAAGGAATATGGAGAACATAGAGGCACAGTAAAACACCTAAATTACTAGGACTATATAGGCGAGCTGGTTTTTCAGCATCACTGCATGCCCATTCTGCTGGAAGAAAGTTAGCTGTGGTTTGAATGTTGCTTTTTTGTGATTCACCTGTATTACTCGGCCTTCCCATTTTTCTCAAATTATTTTCCCAGCAGTCCTCTATTTGTACAGAGGGGAGTAGAATTCACTTGCTACTCTCATCTGAGGTGGAGGACTCTGGTGAATGTAGCAACTTCCTCTGTGCCTCACCTTACCTCCCCATAATGTTCACAAACATTGAGTGCTTGCCACCAAATATCTTGCACACATCAGCATCATGGCTTCACCATGATGCTGGTGTGTAGCATTAGAGTTGCAAATCTGTGTCTGATGTCAAATGGGATCTCCTGACCAGGTTCACCTTTTCTGGTTACTGATTCCACAGGTAAGTCACCCAATGTACTTTTCCTTTTTGTATCCTTATGTTGAAACATCTTGAGGAGGATGCAAGAGAGGAATACCAAGGGAGGCTCAGCTAATACACTGCACCCTTGAAAATCTGGAACTCTATATAATGGATCCCTTAAATAACAAATCAGTCCTCCCACTAGAATTATCCCTCAGAAATTATGATTTCTTGAACAATTCCCGAAATTTGGAAGGGATCATGGAAAAATCCAGATCACTGGCTCACAAGGTCAAGTAATTTCCATTATATCAGATTTTTTCCTGATTTTGATTATTTGTAAATAATATCCAAGAAAATGCATTTATATTTTAGACATGTTCTACTGTACTAAGTTTGTATTGTACTATAAATTGTACAAATGTGATGTGACTTTCTGATGCATCCAGACCAACCAAGTGCGTGCATACTGACCGTGAAATTTCCTTGTGTAAATAAGGTCTGACCGCTCATTATTCAAACATTTTCACTGGCCCTTTCCTTCTGATATATCATTATTTGCAAGTTCAAGTGTGTGGCAAGAATATATAGGTACATCAGATAGTGGAAGAGGAAGTTCCTTACCATGGATAATAAGGCAGTTGTTAGAAAAATGTGATTATGCTGGGGAGGCAAGTGGCTGGTAGAGGATTAATATCATCGGTACTTATGCTCTTTATGACAAAAAACAAAGGAAGCAAATCATATACAGTAGTTCATGAATAAAATGGAGAGAAATGATGGAAAGAGAAGTGACATACAAGAATTAGAACCTTAGTCTACTTAGTTATGGATTGATACCCAATTTCCACATGCTCTCCATATATTGAGTGTCCTAGAAGTTCCAATGTGTTGGGTAAGGGAAACTACCAAAGTGCTGATCAGAAAGGGACATTTCAATACACTCAACACTCTGCTTTTGGTACACAGTTCAGTTCAACCTCCCATACCCATATATGATATATTGTAATGTATTAACTTTCCCCACACCATCTATTAAACTGATTATTATTTTATGTAGCTAAGCCAAATAATCAGGAATAGCTGAATTTAAAAAAAAAAAATTATTTACAAATTACATTAAAAGTTCCCAGAAACTATTGAAGAGTAAAGTAATTCACTCATCTCATAGTATACTTTTAACATTGCATTAAGTTGCTACTTTTTAATTTGAATGCCAATAATTTTAAAGGAGAGGTGAGGAGAGACCAAACCCACCTCACTAACTCGGTGTGTCCATGTTTGGCAGCCAGATGCAGAGGGTAAAGACCTGCCTTGTTGGAGACATCAACACTACAACCAAAGGCACACAGGGTTTGAGCTAAAGCCAACAAGCCCTCTCTTGCTACTATGTGAATTGGAGCCTCCCCAATCTGGAACAAATGTTTGTAATTATATTAACTAAGTAAATTGTGTGTAATAAAACTTTAATAAAAACATATAAGCAAATTTTTTGTTATGAAATATCTAATTATTATTATATATCTGTGAATATAAAAAACATACAAAAAATTGACCAAACCACACACTAGAAGGTGAAGGGACGACGACGTTTCGGTCTGTCCTGGACCATTCTCAAGTTGATTGTGTCGATTGTGTTCTCAAGTCGAACACAATCGACTTGAGAATGGTCCAGGACGGACCGAAACGTCGTCGTCCCTTCACCTTCTAGTGTGTGGTCTGGTCAACATACTTCAGCCACGTTATTGTGACTCATCGTCTGCATACAAAAAATTGATGAAGACTTCTACTTTAACACTGTGACTGCAAATCCATCCAAGTTATTTTGTGATCAGGAAATAGAAGAAATACCATGTTAACTTACATCATCTGTTATATCTGTGTTGGCACCAGCATGAAGAAGAATCATCGCTGCCTGAGTGTGATGACGAGCTAATGCATGATGAAGAGGGGTGGCACCATGAGCGTCCTGGGCATCAACACATGCCCCTGAAGCAACTAGTCCCCGAACACACTCGACATGTCCCCGCCCACTGGCAACATGTAAGGGAGTTTGGTTTTCCTAGAAAACAGGAGATGATAGTAATCTAAAATTAAAAAATTATTATTATTAATAAAATTTTACACTACATAATAAACTCTAATGGTACTAGGAAAATGGGTTTTAGAATTTATAAACTAATGCCAAAATTATTTTCCAAAACTTTTACTGTACCAGTAATTTTGATTACCGCAAAAACATGAATAGTAATCTCTGAGAAAAGTAGATTTACCTTATCTGTAAGTTCAGTGTTAGCTGCAGCAGAACACAGGTGATGAACAATTCGTGGAAAGCCATGCCAGACGGCAATGTGCAGAGCAGTCTCTCCATGCTAAGGAAACAGCAACAAACATACATTCAAAATAGTGTCCTCAGAGAGTGCAAAGGCACTGTAGACAGTCAAACATGAATCACTGAATTGCAATAAAATAATTTTAGTTTAACTACAGAATATTGGATGAAGAAATACTACCAATAGTTGTCTATCAGTACCAAGGGGTAGAAAGCATTAAATTAAATTAAATTAGTACTAAGTTTGGAATGCATTTAAACTAAAGACTTGTTATTAATGACTTCTATTGCTTGATTCTCAAGAAATTACCAATTCTTGGTATAAATAAACATTAATATGATAATGTGAATAAACTAATAAGCAAGGCACATTATTTTATTTAAATATTCTAAATAAAAACAAATGCATGACTTACATCATCCTGTAGATCTAAGTTCATATTACACAGGCACAAATTTTGTACCACCACAGTATGGCCATATCGACAAGCAACATGAAGACACGACTCCCCATTCTGCAATAAACAAATAATTTATGTGTGTGTGTACTCACCTAGTTGTGTTTGCGGGGGTTGAGCTCTGGCTCTTTGGTCCCGCCTCTCAACCGTCAATCAACAGGTGTACAGATTCCTGAGCCTATCGGGCTCTATCATATCTACACTTGAAACTGTGTATGGAGTCAGCCTCCACCACATCACTGCCTAATGCATTCCATTTGTCAACCACTATTTGATGAACTATATTACCCCTGTGAATCAACAATTGATGATAACAGCTGTCTAAGGGTTAATCCCTCGACACCCATAATCTTTGTTATATTATAAACATACGTCACATGTATCACTGTAGCTATGAAGGAAATAGGTAAAATAGACATTCCTACGGATACTGGTACTAGGAGCCTAAAAATCTGGTATGCATAATAAAAGTCAGTAACTGGTATAGAGTTTCACCTCAATGAACCTAATATGTTTCCTGTCCCTGACAACTGGAAACCATATAACTGAGTAATTATATTATATTGTTTCCAGATAGGCACGGAATTCTCTACTAAGGTCATAGGCTTTCAATGGAGATGATGCCCTTTACACTCACAACCTGAAGACACAATTTTCTGTAATTTAAACCATTTAAACACATAAAATTTAAACGCTTTGACTCCCCTTCCTCCCTCCCCTCCCTCCCTCCCTTCTTCTCTCCTTTCCCCCCCCTCCTCTCACTCTCTCTCTCTTCTCTCTTCTCTCTCTCTCTTCTCTCTCTCTCTCTCTCTCTCCCTCTCTCCCTTCTCTCTCTCTCTCTCCCTTCTCTCTTTCTCTCCCTTCTCTCTCTCTCTCCCTTCTCTCTCTCTCTCCCTTCTCTCTCTCTCTCCCTTCTCTCTCTCTCTCTCTCTCTCTCTCTCTCTCCCTTCTCTCTCTCTCTCTCCCTTCTCTCTCTCTCTCTCCCTTCTCTCTCTCTCTCTCCCTTCTCTCTCTCTCTCTCCCTTCTCTCTCTCTCTCTCTCTCTCTCTCTACCTACTCTCTCTCTCTCCCTCTCTCTCTCTCTCTCTCCCTTCTCTCTCTCTCTCTCTCTCTCCCTCTCTCTCTCTCTCTCTCTCCCTCTCTCTCTCTCTCCCTTCTCTCTCTCTCTCCCTTCTCTCTCTCTCTCCCTTCTCTCTCTCTCTCCCTTCTCTCTCTCTCTCCCCCTTCTCTCTCTCTTTCTCCCTTCTCTCTCTTTCATCATTACAAATAGACCTAAGTAAATTTACTTAAAACTGCTTATAATTAAAATATTGATTAACATAAAATATACCGCACAGTAATACGCCCTGCAGAACTGACCTTATTCTGCGTATTAATTTGAGCTCCTTGTTCAATGAGGTACGCAATGATGTGTGCGTGTCCTTGTCGAGCGGCCCAGTGCAGAGGCGTGTCACCCTGGGCATCTGTGGCATCAAGCCCACCTCCCTTCTTCACTAAGAACTTTAATGCCTCCAGCTGTCCCAAACCACATGAGAGGTGGATGGCACTTTCTCCATGCTGTATAACAAAATATTAATCACTTCAGTGAAAATCCAGAATAGCAAAATACTGTACTGCAATACATTAAATTTACTGTACTGCACATTACAGTATGTTTTAAATCTGTGCCATATTTTGCCTAAGTTTTAAATTTGAATTTCTATGTACCTAACAGATTCTCTTTTTTTTTTTGCAAATATACTGTACATTCACCTCTCTAATTGTCAGCAAATATTTTTTAAACAGATTTCACAACAAAATTTCAGAATCAGTTTGAATACAGTACTCTAATGTATACAATATGTCGATATTCATCACCCAATATACAGTACAATATTGCAAATAATTTATGCCAAACTTAAAACTAAATCTAGAAGCTTGTTCGAACTATTGGAACAATGTTCAATGATTTTCCCAGATGCCATCTGCATTTTTTAAAGGTTGTGTCCATTTTCAGGAACCTCATTAAAAAAGGCAGAATCTTGACCTGTAGCAACTTAGCATTATCCTGTCCATGAAACCAAAAGGATCCTATAAGTACTGTACTATAAAATTCTTGTTTTAATAACTTCACTGAGGTGTATGCTGGAAAACGAGAGCTTTGCACTCAATGTACTTATCTATATTTTTACTGTTCCAAAGCCAAATAAAGAATATGGTTTACAAACAACAAGATTCTCTCTGAAAAGCTCAAAAAGCTTTTCATAAAATGTATATTCAAAGCCTAATTTTTATATTAAATCTAAAAATGACTTCCAGAAGCTACATGTTGCCCAATATCAAGAGTAAGCTGTGTTTTATGATGATACATATATGCTGCAGGTTGCAACTCAGTATGACTAGTCATTCTATATATACACACACAAACCTTGCAGAATAAAATGATCATGACAAAACCATATGGTACCCCTATCGGGGTATTCTTATACCAAAAAAATGCCAATTACACTATCCCAATGAGAATGACAATAAATAAAGAAAGCAAAACATTTGTCCAAGAGGTGAAACTCACTATATGAAAGTGTGCCTAAACAAGTCTTTCAATATATATTGCAAACCTTGTTAGCCATGTTGACATCAATATTTTGTGCAACACTGAAGAGTTTCTCAAGGCCTGGTAGGTTTCCCTCTTCAACAGCTGCCACCAAGGCAGACAGAACAAAACTGGCATCCTGCAAGAAAATGTTTGATTCATTTTGGTAATAAAATAAAAATAAGTGGGACAAACAAATCTAACTTCACTCATTTAGCTAGTTTGAACACCTAGAATTAATACATTATTTATATACAGTACACAAATAATTCTAAATATATGTTGCAATATTTTCTTCGAGCAAAAATATAAATGCTTGATTCTTTCTTATGTGACGAGGAGGGAGGGAGGGTAAACTCAAGTTTATCAGGTTAAACAAGACTAAGCTGGAGAATGTTTAGAGTATGCTCTCTGATGCAACCTCAATGACGGGCAGCAAACCAAGACGTGCAGTACTTGTAATAACATGAGAACATCATCACTCATTTATTTCTCTTCCACTCTCCTTCTATTACGAAACTTGATCGAGGACGGACCAAAACATTGTCGTTTCTTCATTTTCTGATGAGTGGTTTGGTTATGCTATCATCCACTCTTGACTCTTCACTCCTTTCTGATCCCTCACCCTCCTGATCCTACACTCACTCCTGACCCATCACTCACCTCCTAATCCCTCACCCACCACCTGACCTCTCACCCTGCTTGATGGGGTTTAGGGAGTTGTTCTACTTCCCAAGCCCAGCCCGAGGCCAGGCTTGACCCTCCTCTGAGCCCCTCACCCTTCTCCTGACCCCCTCACCCTTCTCCTGACTCCACTTCACCCTTCTCCTGACCCCACTTCACCCTTCTCCTGACCCCACTTCACCCTTCTCCTGACCCCACTTCACCCTTCTCCTGACCCCACTTCACCCTTCTCCTGACCCCACTTCACCCTTCTCCTGACCCCACTTCACCCTTCTCCTGACCCCACTTCACCCTTTTCCTGACCCCACTTCACCCTTCTCCTGACCCCACTTCACCCTTCTCCTGACCCCACTTCACCCTTCTCCTGACCCCACTTCACCCTTCTCCTGACCCCATTTCACCCTTCTCCTGACCCCACTTCACCCTTCTCCTAACCCCCCTCACCCTCTCCCTGACCCCCTCACCCTCTCCCTGACCCCCTCACCCTCTCCCTAACCCCTCACCCTCTCCCTGACCCCCTCACCCTCTCCCTGACCCCCTCACCCTCTCCCTGACCCCCTCACCCTCTCCCTGACCCCCTCACCCTCTCCCTGACCCTCCTCACCCACCTTCTGACCCCTCAGCCTCCCCCACCCAACATAATAATGTGATAATATTTTTGTCTACCACAGACATATCCACATTTACAATGGTAACAACCATATATACATCTGTGTCTGCCTTCCATGGTCAGAGATCTGTTTCACTACATATTGTGTAGTCAGTTGCTGAGCACTCAACCATACAAGGTGACTGAAGTACTTTACAATGCCAAATTGGAGTATGCAGAGAATTCCTGCATGGAAGTGATGTGTGTAGACTGCTATGAGTGAGCGAGTGGGGGTGGGGGGGAGGACGTAGTGTCGTGGAGTGTAAGACTGAGCCACTACCACCACAAGTGCCTAACCACAACCATCAACTCGCATTCGCCACACCACCAACCATCACACTCCTTACCATTATCCTCTCAGCCACTCCCGCACAACCCCTCCTCACCCTCCATCACCAAGTAAAAAAAAAAAATAAACTTCTGGCAGTAACCAAATAAAATGAGTGCTGGGTTTATAAACTCTCACCAAAATGGTTCATAAAACAATATAAGGAGATCAAAGACCACACTCTTTCTTCACACAAAACTAAATATTTAATATCAATTTGACCTCTTAATAACTTGTGAACAATGACTAACATTTGTACAAATTTCACGAGTGCCTGTTGAAAGAACAAAATTTAATTTAATTTAATTTTTGGCTTAAAAGTTTAGGAAGACAGTTGTTTAATTCCCCATATTTCTGCAAGAATAAGTAATTCACTTCTCAAAACATTTAAATTGTGTACTTTGGTTCTCTCTCTCTCTTACTGAACCTTTTTGTATTGCTTCTCTTATTCTTTTCTGTTTGCTTTATTTAGCTGCCATTAGGAACTACCTCATATGGACCAGTGACCTTTCTGTAGTGTCCTTCACTCTTGCCTTGTTATGTTAGCTGGGTGTTGATGCTTTACTGCTCCAAGTACCCCTCACCTTCCCTCTTACCTTGTACGTGTTGACTGCTGCTGCCACTCCTGGTCAGCGAACAGGCATATTAGAGACTAGCAGGACCAGTA